TCCGTTGAGTTGAGGAAAACAAAGCCAAGAAATCAATGAGCCTAACTTGCTGACTCAAATGGGGCATGATATAGGGAAGGGAGTGGAGCGGGCAAGGGAAACTGCGGATGCCTAGGATCCCAGTGCAAAAGAGTGTTCCTCTCCTCTTGGGAATCATGAGGGCAACTCCCTAGAAGAAATTTCTGTAGAGGATGGGACCTTCCTGGTGTTGATGGGAGGAATCTCTACCTTATTTCTATTCAAAGAACCAGAGAAGAATAAGGAGGGCCTCTGTGGGAGTGCTTTTTGCAAGTCACTTCATATGCGATAAGGTGAACTGCCACATTGTTAAAGATACGATATCGATTTACGCTTCCGTTTCAGACTCCTGATTTTCCTCCACCATTGCCAAATGCCCTACGTGTATATCTGGAAAACGGTCAAACAAGGTCTTTCAGATACGATGATTCAACTACAGTCAAGGTAAAGAACCCCTATACCCATGGCATACACCTAATCGATTATTGATTTTTCTCAGGATGTTTTAAACTCGATCGTCTCGAAGCTGCAACTTCGGGCAAAACAGCATTTCGCTCTAGCTGTCGAATATTCTTTAGGTGCCCGATCGAGTCGGGTCAGTTTATTGAGGCCTGAGATGAAGATTAGCACGGTAGGTACCGTAGTCGAGATATCAGTAAGGGCTACCGTAATACCTGTCCGTTCAGATAGTCGGAATGCCAAATTCGGACCATATACGATGTGTTTTTCGTTTCGCTTTCATTCCGAAGAATGTCGAAGCTCTATGGACGGAAGATCCACGAGCCCTTGACTACTACTACCAGCAGTGTACTGCTGATGTAGTTCGAGGGAGATATGCGTTCGAAATGAGGTTGGCGTCAAGTTCGTTGCACCGACCGTGATTACGGACTGACCGCGGAATGTCCTTTTAGGTATGAGGCCTGTGTTCGGTTAGCAGCCCTTCATATGCAACAAGTTGCCATCGAGTCTAACTTGCTCAAGGAGAACAACACCGTCTCATTGACCAGATTGGAGTAGGTTGATTATTTAATTGAAGATAAAATAAATAATTTGATTGCATATCATAACTTTCTTGGAAAAAAATCTCTACAAAACAAGCTTTCCAACTTGATCTTCCGGACCTAACCATTGGACGAACTCACCGTTTCTGTTCTGGGCATATACAATAGAAATCCCCCACCTCGCCAAACTCCGCCTTCAGGTTCTAACTCCTCGTTATTAAATGGCTATTCTCGGTTATGAGCCCTATATAAGCCTAATAAATTAAGTGAACGCCGTTTGTCTTTCTTGCTCCAGGTGTTACGAGGCCGGCTAGCTGGTTACTACAACAAAGGGCAACTAATTTGTGTTCTTCCAGATCTGAGTACGGTTTGCATTCGTTTCTGCCATCGATTCTTCTGGAAAACGTAAAACGACGAGAGATCCACAAACACGTTCGTTACTATCTGAGAAGGGACAGCGTGAAGTTAGCAGAAGGCCTACTAAAACAAGGCAGGCGATGTGACGAGCAATGTAAGTGATTTGGGCGGAGCTTTCTCCAGCGTGGGCGGGGTTCCCCTATAACATTCTTCGTTTCAGCTTTTCTCTCATTACGGGTATCCGATGCATCGGTTTCATTACGTGTACGTTATTTGGATTTGCTCTCACACTTGCCGTCATTTGGTGGACGTGGTTTCTCCGTAACCTTCAAGGAAAGCCAGATCGATATGATTATGCAGGTAATCAATTGGTTCAGGTGATAATTCGGTCAAAAAATCGACAATTGCTTTCAGATCGATCCTCATATAGGGCTGCTCGTACGGCATCCGGGTAAAACGGGTAGGCCGACGATATCGATTGATTACGATCTTATCGATCGATTGGTAGTTCGAAGGGATTCGGAAATTTCATCGTTGATCAGCATTCGACTGAAAAGCAGTCCTGATCAGGTAAACAGCCTACTTACTCCTAGCTACATTAGCCACCATGGGGCAGTTCCACGGCACGTTTCGGGTCATGGTATTGTCCCCAATCACATCGGGAACATTTCAGGGCCTGGAATTTCTCGTGGATAAAGATGATATTGATGACCTTGTTGGCTACATTCGTGGTTACCATTTCCTGCACTGCGACCGACAACTCGACTGTGACTTTGACGAAAGCTTACCACCTCAAATACAACCGCCAACTGATCGTGAGTAAAGTCTCACCTTTTTACGGCACCTCCACTTCTTCGCCCAGAGAAACTCGTCCCCAATGTGAGGGCGTAGCCCACTCAGTAGAAGCGAGGCCCCATTAATTTTTGCAGTTTGACTACAGTCACAGTAGGCCATCTGTTTCTTTGTTTGGTGCACTAACGACAAACTACCGTACACTTACTGTAAAATACTGCTGGATTACTGTACTTTTTTTAGCTCCGCCCTACTCAGCTGTTCACAAAGTGATTCCATGTGGATGGAACTATTCAAGTGACATTACCTCGAGCGATCAGGTGAGAAAACTGTCCCAGTAAACGCTGCATAAAGAAAGTTGATTCAAAAAAAATAGTTGTTTACTCTTAGCTGAAACTTTACTATTAAGCTTACCATTAGTACAGTCGTTTCATGAATATCGTGGGTATTTACTCTGTTCACCTCGCAAAAAAGCTTACCCGTCATTGGCAATCTGTTCACGAACAACTCGAAGGAAAGCGAAGAGGAATGCTCGAAACTGACCTGATTCTGGTATGCGCCATGCGTTGATGTCGATCCATTCGGATCATGACGGTTGCAAGTGAGCGGGCTGGGCGGTAGAGCGGAAGTACGTTGTTTGCAAGTAATCGTACTGCTCTGATCATACTGAAAATAACAGCAATGACTGGTGAAGCCTGATGTC